TCAACATTTTTTAATTTATTGTTCACATGTATAAATGTATGATATATCCTCCTATTTGAAATACTCACGTTTTAGGCATAGCCATACATTAAATATAAATACTTCATTCAATGAGAATTTGAATATTAATTCTCCAATCTCCATGTTGGAACTTTATCCTAAAAAATTACAATTAAATAATTTAAGTAGCGCCTATTATCATAATCAACTAAAACCATTACCAAACTACAAGGATACAAATTCCATTGATATTCTTCTAACAATAGCCACCAATATATATAATTTTCAAATTTCTCGTTTTCTCAAGGCATACCATCAGCTTCTCACGTCAAGAGTGCAGAAAACAAGGGATGTTTCAAAATTAGAACTCCCACTCGATCGATCTGAAGCAGAAGAGCAGTGTGAAGGGAGAGAAAGGTAAATTCAAATGGAAAGGAAAGAGAAAATTGGGTTGGATTTGCCGGCCGTTTATTTTTTTTTTTTTTTTTTACAGGCTTTATCCCATTTTTTTGACTCTGGTCTTGTATGGCTATGATGTTGAGAGGGGTATCATGGGAAGATAATATGTTTTAACTCTTTCATTAATGTCCACCTATCACATTCAGTTGAAAATGCTCCTATTTTTTAATGTTGAGCAAAGGTACATTTGAGTCATTTTGGGATGAATGTTTGAAATGAACTTTTTGGGAGAAATTTAACATCTGAGTTTTTCATCATTCCAACATTATCCTTAATGAATTAGTTACAATAAATTTTTATCCGAACATTATTAATCTCTTTCAATACCTCTGACAACTATAAAATATGCTTTTTTTTTTTCCTGTGATATCTCCATAATTGGTAGCTATGGGATTAATTTCTCAAAAAATTTAAGTATCAATCAAGGTATATATTCTCATATCTCAAGCAATGATTTATATACACATTTTCAAGAAACGAACCCTAGAATAGTGTTTGATAGACTCAACTTCTACCATCCATGTCACACCCACTTGATACTATAAATATGCTTATTGACATCAAAAACATTACTAAAAAAAATATCAATGGCTTAGTATACTTTGCAAAATAACTTCTAAAAGATCATGAAAAGTTTGTAGAAAATGACCTATAAATAAAATCAAAGGATTAGTAATAGTAGGTATAGCTTATGAAATAACAATTGTTTTAAGTTTATAATCAATTTTGACATGTATAGGAGTATTTGAATATTTTTTAGAAAACTAAGATTTTATATTCATAATTGATTTTAGCATGTAATATGAGTGTTTGGATATTTTTTAAAAAAAAACTATAATTTTGAGTTTATAATTAATTTTAGCATCTAATATGAGTGTTTGAATATTTTTTAAAAAAATCATGATTTTGGATTCATAGTTTGAATTTTCACATACCAACTAAGAGTGTTCACGCGTTCGGTTTTGAGTAAAAACCAAACCAATTGGTTCACTATATAATTTGAAATCTATTTAGTTTTTTCCTCTAATAGACCGACTTTCACTAGAATTAAACCGCTAGCACAAATGGGACAAGATCGATGGTGATGATTAGGACTAGACCACTTGTGACGGCCGGGATCGAAGGACTAATTACCACCAAGACCAAATTGATTGTGCTGATCAAAATTGGACTGTCACCAAAGACCAAGATCAAATGTTTGACTCTAACCCCTAATCAAGATCAGTGACTTATATAGGGATTGAACCATTGAAAGTCTGTTCCTACCAATCCTAGTAGCAGGCAGTTATTTGGTCGTTATCATTGCTAGCAGCCCAATCTTAGTGGAAGTCAATCATTTGGTCCTAGTTAGCAAAAGACGTCTGGTCTTAGTGGCAATCGACTGTTTAATCCTAGTAAAAGTTGGGCGTTTGGTCTTGATCATCACAAGCAGTCTGGCCCTATCATCATCGACAGTTCAGTCTCGATTAATTGCAACGACCTTGGCCTAGTCTTGGTAAATGGCGCAAACCTAGTCCTGATCCCAATCGACATCAATGGTCACAGCTCAATCTCAATCAATAAATGTGGTCCTGTCCTTTCACTATAGGTGGGCCGATCAAATTATGAAAAAGATTAGTGTTGGATTCGAAATAATAGAAGTTTAAAAATAATTTCATATTGCAAAAAAGATTCAAGTAGAATTTGAATTTAAAAAAACAAAAAAATAAATTATTATCTATATTTTTGCAGTTTCAAATTATAAAATATTTTTAAATAAAATTTTATATATTAATAAATTTTATTAAATACATTTAACAACATTATCCTTTCAAAATAAAGATACAAACTTTTAAAAATATTCATTATTTAATATATTAAAAAGAGAAAAGATGAAAAATAATTATAAGAGAAAAAGGATAATATTAAAATTGATACATTTAATAAAACTTTAATATACCTAAAGTGTCTTATATTTTAAAATAAAAAAATTTCTTTAAAAATACTTTATAATTTGAAACAAATGGAGTATTATCTAAAAATTAAAAATTTCTTATTCTTGTTTTCCATACAAAAAAATTTCTTATTCTATCGGTACTAGTATTAAATATAATTTTTTTCAAAATTTTTTTATTTAATATTCACATGTATGAATGCATGATGTATCTCTTTATTTGAAATAATTTTGTTTGAGATATATTTACACACTAAATATGAATACTTCTTTCATTCAAAATTTAAATATTAATTTCCCATCTTATGAACAAGAGCCTTTTCCACCGAACACACGTTGATTAGTTTTGTCAAAACATCCAACTTCGTAGAACATAATTATAATAAAGTATAATTTATTTGTTCAACAATTAATTTAATTTTTTTAAGTTTGAATAATTTAAAAATAATGTTTTGGCCCCAAAATTTTTTTTAGAATGTCTAAATTGAATGTCTGACATTATAGTGCCTAACTAAATGAAGGGGTTAATTTATAAAAAATAAATTAATTACATTATCATCATACGATTTTAACTTTTTTATTTGTTTATGGAGAGATGCGCGGCATTGAAGGGACTGTGGCTTTTATGATGAGGTCTATGATATGACTTAACAAGCGGCTGGACATAAAGTTGCTTCCTCGATTTAACTTTGAATTTGAAGTTTTAGGACTGTTTGGTATGATAAAATGGAGAGGGTAAAAATGAATACGAAATTGAAATTGAATTTTTTTTATGTTTGGTTGATTAAAATGAAGTTGGATTTGGCTTTCACATGAAAATCATTTTCATATATTTTGATGGAATTAAATTTTATCAAAAAAACTCAGTTTTGTAATTCTAAATTTCCTTTTTTTTTAACGCTTCCTCTCTCTCTTCCATTCTCACCTTCTCTCTTGAATGACGACGACTCAGCATAATGAAGACTAACCTTCGACATTCGATCTCCGACCTCTGCTCCTCAACTGCCATCACTCGTGCTATTCCCTTCACCAACGTCAACGACCTCCTCCCTCATTGATTCCACCTGTCTCTTTGTCTTCTCATCCATTGAACTGAATAACGGCAGCCTTCTCTGCAAATCATAAGGATGAACCAGCAAGCTCCAGCAATTTCACGATCCCTCCTATTGACAGCAGGTCTTCTTTTTCATGACAATGGTGATGATGAAGGCCACCTATGCGATGAAAGAGAAAGGATGATGAAGCCAGCAACATGGTTCCAGTGACAATCTTCTTCGAGCTAGTCCCTGAACTTCTTTAGCACAATAACATCTTTTGGTCTTCTTCTTTGCCGGCGAAAGTCCAATAAAGGTGCTTCATGGTGGTTCCCTCCCAAATTTGGGTAGGAGCTTTTTTTTTTTTTTTTTGGATGACAAAATTTTTGATCTATGATGGGCCATATTTTTTTAAAATGAGGGTATTTTAATCTTTTCTTATTTTTAAGATTAATATTGAATAAAATAATATCTCAATTCCATAAACAAATCAAACATATTTTTAAACCTCATATCCATTTCCATATCTACTTCCATATTCATTTTCATTTCCATCAAAATCATTTCCATTATACCAAACGTGGCATTAAATTTTAGATTTATTTTTTAGAGCTTAAAAGAAAAATATTAATTGTTTAAAAACCAAATTTAATTATTAAAATCATATTTTAATGGGAGAATGACAGTTAATTTTAAAAAAAATTATAAAACAAATGAAAGTTAATTTTAAAAAAATTATAAAGTAAATTATATTTCCTTAGTTCAAAAATGTAAGGCATTTTTTTGCGGAATTGAATGTTAAAAAATATAAAGTATTTTTAATCTTTCGAAGTATAATCACTGCCTTTTTTCAAAATGCTCATATTGATAGTGACTTTATATTTATTATAAAGTGTTTAATGAGGGTAAATATGAAAAAATAGAGTTAGTTTAAAAGTAAGTAACTACTTTATTAGGGGTCAGATTCGATTAAAATTGCCTTATATTTTTGAATGAAGGGAGTAAATATTAATTCAAACAATTATAAAAAAGTTTGTTATAATTTAATAGTTATTTAATGATTAAATACTTATTTTTAATTGAAACTCTTGAATTTAGAATAATCTAAATTGATTTTTTAATTTATTTTTATAAAAAATTATTAAAGATTTAATTATCATTAAATATTGTGACACTTATCATTCTTCCTATTTTAGACTATGAAATTCATCTTAACCAAAAAATAAACTATGACATTCATTATTCACATAATTTTTATTTTTTTATGTTTACAGTAGGTAAAATTAAATAATTGAAACAAACGCTCTAATTAATTATATATTATTTTTTGACCAGTTAATTATAAAATAATTGAAAATAACTTAAAGTTTTAAAATAGATTTTAATATAAATAAATATCTTCCCCGTTTTTGTCAAATGAAATGACTTGATAAAAAAGGAAAAATAAAGAAAAATAAAGGAAGGAAAGCAACAAAAGTGACTTGGATTATCATATTTTATTCCATGAAAAGCTGGAAAATAAAATAGCGTGTGAACGTGAAGTGACCAAAATATCATCACTTTGGCCGCAACATCGACACAGACTACACAGTAAACTGAAGTGAGAAGAGAGAGAGAGAGAGACAGAGACAGAGAGAGACAGAGAGTGGAGAAGCAGACAGAGAGCGAGAGGAAATCATGGCCGTTTCCGTCCCAATTCTGGCCACCGTCGCCTCCCTCCACCTCATCGCTTTTGTTCTAGCCGTCGGCGCCGAACGCCGTCGTAGCACGGTACACCTCCTCCCTCTCTGTCCTTTCTTACGGATGCGCTTTATAGGGAACCTAACTACTGTTAGTCTTCATCGTTTTACAGGCTAGAATCCAGCCCGATGAGTACGATGACCGAACGTTCTGCGTTTACGACACCGATGCGTCGACGGTGTACGGTCTGGCGGCCTTTGCTCTGTTGCTGGTCAGCCAGGTGGTGGTTCACGGTGTCACCAGATGCCTCTGTTTCGGCAAAGGGCTTGTCACTGGTTGCTCCACCACTTGCGCCATCTTCTTCTTCATTTTCTCTTGGTAAATCTCATTAATTTTCATCTCCATATTCTTCAATCCTTTTCCACCCTTCAAAATCCAATGTATCTCTCTCTATCTTTCATTTCCGCTAGTGCCATATGTATAACTAATCAACATCTACGCTTCTCTATCACTGATTAGAATCGATTAGGGTCCAATAGCGTAATACAGTAATGGAAAAAGGGGGTCGATTTACCTTACGCTACGCGATTTGAGCGAATTCTTTTTGTTAACCCGTATGCTGTTACGAAAGTCGAAAGTATCTATTTGTCCTTTTACAGTCTTTTAATTTATTTATTTATTTATAAACGTCTAATGTTAATCGTTATCATTATAGCGAGCTATAGAAGCTGAAGGGAAATTTCAATTGGTTTATTCCAACAAAGAGAAACTAGCCTAGAGGATGAGTACTTGAAGCTAGTAGACCGAACTCTGTCAAGTCATGTGATTTGCGCTTATAAAAACAAAGGGATGGGGACAAAGATTAGTATCTGAGTCAACCAAGCTTAGTACTGATATATTATGATTATAATTGAAAGCCACCAATATTGGTATCTCAGTCAACTAAGCTTAGTACTGATATATTATGATTATAATTGAAAGCCACCAATTGCTATATCTTTGTCAACTATGGGTATAGAAAGCTGAAGGGTAGTTTCATTTGGTTTATCTAGAGGGGAAAATATAAACAAGTGGGTTCTTTCAAACTAGTGAATGGGTATCACTCAACTCACTTGGGGTTGCAATTTACAGTTGAAGGAGTTAAAACTTTTGTTATAAATGTTAAAACAGTGTTGAATAGAAATGGGATATGAAAATTGAGATGATCTTTTGAATGTAAATATCAGGATTACATTTCTGGGAGCAGAAGCATGTTTGGTAGCAGGATCAGCTAGGAACGCATACCACACAAAGTACCGAGGGTTCTTTGGCCAAAACGACCTATCTTGTGCCACACTCCGCAAAGGAGTGTTTGCAGCTGGTGCTGCTCTGACATTGTTGTCTTTGTTGGCTTCCATTTCATACTACTGGGCTCACTCCAGGGCTGATACTGGTGGCTGGGAGAAGCACCGGCACGAAGGTGTTGGATTGGCCACTTCCAATTTCAACCATAACCAACAAGGTAGTGAGTTTGAAAAGGCCTGAAATATATTTGGGTTGGTTGGCTTTAAGCAATTTTGGTGGCTCTATTTGACTATTTTTGTCTAAAAACAAGGGTTTGGGACAAGGATTTCCAATCCTGAGTTGTTCATGTAGTAATGGAAGAATGTATAATGTGTTATTATGGGCTACTGCTTGAAACGATATATATATTAGTATTATGGTTGTTCATATTTCTCAACTCTGGTTTTATAGATTATGATATGTATGTACTTTTTCAACAGCATGATGAGTTTTATTAGCATTTGCATCTTAAGATTCTCATTCCGATGCTGTAGTTACTCAGGTGAGTGTGATTATTTCAGTGCATACGATATTGAAGTTCTACTTATGTAGTTTGAGAGCTTGCTTCTCGGCATATTGCACTTTGTTCCATCAGTGACTTGTGATTGCTGGCTGGTCCTCAACTTGGGGATATTGCTGGCTGAAGAATGGAAGTATGATCAAATAAAAATTCAAGCCAAAAGTGCTCCTTCCCTCCATTACACAGATTAAAAAATACAATAAATATATAAAAATGACATATTTTACCAAATCTATCTTGTTTTAACGTTTCTAAAAACATTATTACTCCCGGAACTCTATAATTGTCTTTTTTTTTTTCGGGGGAAAAATGGTTCATGATACATGTTTTTATTTGTTTTTTAAATTCAAAGCAATATTAACAACACTTTCTCTCTTACCTTTGCAGTAATTTAAGCATTAAATGATGGTTAAATATGATGAAGTATGTCAAATTTTTATATATTTGTTATATTTTTTAATATGTGCACAATAACCTTAAAAACAAATATAATGAAATGGAGGAGTGCAATTTAGAAAATTGTCATATCCAAATATAGTTATTAAATAATACTCCAAAGATAAAATGGGGAAAATGTTATTAATATTAGTTTGGAATTTTATGAGGTGTAATATGAAAAAAAAAAAATTACACTCCCTCCTCTCTATTTTATAAGACTTTTTTTTTTTATAAAATTATAAATATCAATAAAGTCAATTAAATATAGTTTAAAATTTTAATTTTTTTTAAAAAAAGAAATATGAACATCCAAATACTATACTCTTTATCCAATACGGGAGAGAGAGAAATATTTAAGAAGAAAAATAATAAAAAAATAATTTTAAAATAAATTTTATCAATAAATTAATATTTCCTCCTTCTAAATTATAAGACACATTTAAGGAAGATTTATCATTTCAAAATATAAAATATTTTAAAAGGATTAAGATTTCATTAAATAAGTTTATTTCAATATCATCATTTCTCTTTCTCTATTTAATATTAATTAATTATAGATTTAAAGTTATTAAATGAAGAATATTTTTAAAAATTTATATTTATATTTAAAAAAATAAAATTATTAAATATATTTAATGAAATTTATTAAATGTGAGATTTTGTTTAACAATTTTTTATAATTTGGGATGGGTGTCATTTTGCAAATCATCTTAAATCGCAGGAGATATAAAACAACATCATAAAGATGGGAGAGGGGTAGCATTAATTGATAGTCATGTCTGAAGTCACCCAATATTAATTCCTACCCTGATCACCAAACCAACTACCACAAGACAGAATAATGTCGTGACACTTCCATCTCACTTACGATTATGGTTGGAGTTGACATATCATTTAAAAAAAAAAAATTATGCTGATTTGGGTTTTCAGAGACTTATCAAAGTTAGGATATATTTTCAGGTTAAAAAAATACTTACAAAAGTATTCATAAATTATCTATCAACAAATTCTTCACATCAACTATAAGATTTGATAGTATGATTTTGTGAATTATAAATCAAATTCTTATTAATTGAACTAAATTTTGTTGGTAATAAGCTATCAAGTCAAGCTTCAATCAAATAAGCTTGAACTTATATAATAAGTTAGAAACTCAGACCTTACCTAAAAAGCTAAAATTTATGTAGTTTTTTTTAATATAATTTAGATCTGAACTTACCTAAAATTTAATTTGACTTAAAAACTTATTTAAAAGTATAACTTTTAAATCGGCTTATATAATAAGTTTTAAAGGTTTCACGTAAACTTTTGGACTATTAAGGCTCACTTATATACAACATGATTTACCAAATAACAAGTAAGATGATTTATCATTATAATACAATACAACAGCACATTAAACATGTAATGTATGAAAGATAATCTATTAAGAAATAATTGACTTAGAGGGAGAACAAGAAGGAAAAGGTCCAAGAAAGGGGTGAAGCCAATTATTTCTTAATTCCTAAGTTAATTATTTTATATATATATATATGTATATTATCTTTCATACATTACATATTACTCTCTTCGTTAAAAAATATAAGATATTATTAATCAAATTTCACCCCCAATAAAGTAGTTATCTACTTTCAAACTAACCCTATCTTTTCATATTTATCCCTATTAAATACTCTAAAATAAATATAAAGTCATTTATCAATAGAGAGACTTTTGAAAAAAAAAATAATAATTACATCTCAAAAAACTAAAAATGGCTTACATTTTTAAACATTCAATTTCTTAAAAAATGTCTTGTATTTTTAAACGAAGAGAATATATATAAATATAAAACATTATATAATATTACATTTGTAAAAAAACTGATCTATAAGACTTATTGGCCAAACCTTGTAAAAATATGTCTGACCTATTTATCTAAACAGGTTTAATCAAAAGCATGAACTTGATTTAACCTATTTAGTAAATAAGCCCAGCCAAACTTAAATTAAATTGGACTATAAGGCTCTGACAGGCTGTTTGGCCTATTTTCACCCTACGTCCACACTCAAGCAACAAATTATCACATCAAACTAGGTGATTTGTGAATTCTACCAAGACAATTCAATAGTAAGAAAAAATTATTCTCTTTATTAAAAAATATAAGGTATTTTTAATTAAATCATTCTTCCAATAAAATAATTAGTCTTTTTATAATTAATACTATCTTTTCATATTTATTCTTATTTAGTAGGGTGTTTAGCTTTAAAATAAATATAAAGTGACTTAATTTACCAAAAAAACATAAAGTAATTTATTAGGGGCACTTTTGGTAAAAATATGTTGATTACACCTCAAAATACTATAAATATTTTAAATTTTTTTAATATTTAAATTTTTAAATAATATTTTATATTCTTAAATAGAGTAAGCAGTGTGTAACATTAAAAGTCACTTTTGCAGTATCAGTTTCATAACTTTAATTACGGTGGACCTATGTGTTCACTATTCATATGAAGCCTGAAATAAATCATTGTACTGTTTATTATTAAATAATGATGGGGTGAACCTTTGAATTCTTTTTCTCTGTTGTCCTGAAGAATCATCCCTCGTCAATTATATAATGTCAAAATTAGTAGTTAATTATCTTGATTTGGGGTATTTAGATTAAAAAGAAAAGCATGTGCTGCCATCAAAATATTATAGAAGAAAATGTCAAGAAATCATTACATTGATTTTCTGTATTAACAATAAAATATATAAAAATTAATATTTATTTATAATTTATAAGTACTTGACATTCCCTGACAAATCAATTTTTATCAATGGTATAAAATACACGTCAGAGACCATATAACCAAATCGGTTTCCCTTATGCACGGAGACGTGAGTATTCCACCACGAGATTAGACATTAAATTCGGTGATTCACCTAATTAATTCGGTTATCAGTGTCACTCGTCCAGTTTATCAGAGGTCATAACTAAATCTAGTTACAACAAAGTTGGTCTAATTAATAAAAATTATGCACATAATCAAGGATGTGGACTTAAATATTATTGCTGATGTGAGAACCTTGTTAATGAACAACTATATCTTTATAAATATTTTTGAAATGCATGCATTGATCCTGGTGAGCCATCAAAACCTAACTCACCTAAACTTTTGCTTAAAAAAAAATTTAAATTTAGTTATACAAACTATTAAGACTATAAATCTCGACCATAAATCAAACATATGGAATTGAGGAATCTCAATATATGGCCAATGTATATTGGTCAAGTGATACTCTTGTTGGTTAACTATATTGATCAACCAACAGGTATTAGATATAGTGAAAATGATTAATTTCTCACAATTTAGCTAATCAAAGTTTTAATATTCATTGGAATATACATCCACATTTAGTATCCAATAATATTTTTAAAAAAAAATTAGAGGAGGATACTTGTGAGAAATCCAAAAAAAAAAATGTAGTACCAAGGCACCTTCAAATGAGAGGTTGCGAGTTTGAATTGGGAAAGATTAATATAAATAGTAGATGGTGTGTGTGATGAGTTTAGTATAAAAGGACTCTAGGCACCAAGTGCACATTCAAAAGGGAAAAAAAATTTTAACTTTCAAGAATTCATGAATAAAAAAAATTACATGCATTTTTCTTTTCTATTTTTTTCCCTCACTTGAAAAAATAATTGTGATACCTGGCACACCTCAATCAATCAACAAGCACAAGACATACCTGAGTAACATAATTTAATAATTCCAAATAATTGAATTAGAGAGTCCTAAATGTGGGTAAATGTATCAGGAACACGTGAAAATAAGACTTGAAGGCCATAGGCAAGTCATTCCTTTCCCTCCTTATGTAGAGTTTGTTTCTTTGTGTCAAAGCTTTAGATTTACCATCTTTTGTTGGACATATAACTATTTATAGGGTCCTTATGAAGGCCCATTAATCAGAATTATCAGTAATAAATTTGGATAAGTGAGAAGCATAATCTTCAACTAAGTTTCAGAGATTCTTATTTTGCAGCAATGGCAAGTGGTTCTTATGAAGCTTCACGTCAAGCAAGGTTGTTTGGCCGTCAAAGGCCATTTCATGCCATTCTTGGCGGAGGAAAGGGTCAGATATTTTCTAATTTCAACCTTTTTCTGTCCCCCCTCGCTTTTGTTTTCTATTTTCTGCCACAATCCAAATGCATAGGTTTTTCAGCTTAATTTGGAGAGGAGGAAAAAGAAAAGGAGAATTACATTGAGATCTCACAAAAAAAAATAATTATTATAAGATTCAGTAACAACTGAACTAAGGATATTGACAACATAATGAATTATCAATCTCCTTAGTTTAGTTGTCACTAAACCTTGTAGTAATTAATTTTTTGTACAAGATTTCAATGTAATTCTCCTAGAAAGGAAATAAACTCTCTTGAATTGCACAAGTTTACAATGTAAAATATCATTACACTAGTCTCATTTATGCAATTTTACCAATTTTTTTTTGTAGGATTGCATCTTCTACTAGAGAATGTCTCTTTCTTTTTAGAAAAAATTAATTATTCAATTCTTATAATTTTGATTAAATTAAGAATTAGTTTATTAACTTTAACTCGATATAACTCAGTTAATAAACTTTAGTTGTTATAACTTAGTCCCAATAGTTTTTATCTATTTAAAATTTAAAAATTGAATTATAACTTAATTAAACTATAGGAACTGAATTGTAACAAGTTAAAATTTAAAAATTAAGTTACAATTGAATTAAAAGCATAAAAATTAAATGATTAATTTTTTTTTCTTTTTTATAAGTAGAGGTTCACAGGTTCGATTTCTCTAAACCATTTGGTGCAGTACACTCAAATTACAGTATCATTCATTGAGAGATTCTGAGAGTTTAAAAACATCTCTATATTAGAAAAGGCTGACAATGGCTGGAAAAATGTCTTCTGCATTTGAAGTATTTATTATCATTTTAGAGTCTAATAATCTAAGAACGCAACACTTATTGTAAAAGCGAGACTTTTGAATTTGATGCTGTTGAACTGATTTTGCAGTTGCTGATATATTGATGTGGAGGAATAAGAAGCTATCAGCTTCTATCTTGGTTGGGTTATCCACCATTTGGTTTCTCCTTGAAGTGGTGGAATTCCATTTCATCACTTTACTCTGTTACTTCCTCATTTTCAATTTGCTCTTCTTCTTCCTCTGGTATAATACTGCAAGATTTATCACTTGGTAATGTAAATCTCATCCTCCTAGTGTTCATATGTAAAAGCTGTGTTTTTTTTGGGGTCAGAAAAGACATTTCTGTTAAAAAAAATAGTTGTTAGGTTAAGTAGAACAAGCTTAATTCTTTTTTAATGAAGTTGAAAGTTCAAACCTCATGAATTGAAGAGAATTATACTAGAAAACCTACTTTCAATTGAAACCATAATACTTGGATCTAACTTGACAACACTAACTATGAGATAATTGCATGAGAAATGTTCTATGGAAAAAACTGTCGCAATAGTGCAATTTAATTTTTTTTTTTTAACTAAGTTCTTCAATAACATTATAAGTTTGGAGTCAATAATGTGCTTGTCCGTTAAAAATAACACTGCCATGCAATATTTGATAGATAGAAAATGATAAATGCATCCATCTCATTTTCTTTCTAAATATATTCTTCATTTTCTTGTACCAAACATGCACTTTTTTTTATTTAAAACACCTCATAAGTCATAGCAACTTCTTTCTTAAAAAAGAAAAAAAAATTGAAATCCTATCCTTCTATAATCTCCAGACTGCACATTAAGTAGTTTGTATTGCAGGAGTCCTCCATGTATTTATGAAGTTGGAATATCAGAATCCACCTGGAGATACCTATTCAAGAGATTCAACTGGTTCATGAAGACACTTTGTGAGATTTCAACTGGGAAAGACCTGAAACTCTTATTTATGGTATTTAGAAACTCTTTTCAATTTCTTGAACAAGTATATTCATTCTCTCCAATGACTTCTTAAATAACATCTAGTGCTTCAATTTCAGACAATCACTGGTCTCTGGATCTTGTCAGCTATTGGGACTTGTTTCACAGCCCTGAATCTGTTATACATCAGTAAGATAACAAACAAATGTGCATTCTATATCATGGCAAAGTCACTAACCTTCTTACATAACCCTAATTGATCTGCTATGTGCTCTTATGCAGTCTCTCTCTGCATGATGACCCTACCAGTTATGTATGAGCAGTATGAATGTGAAGTAACTTATCTAGCAAGCAAAGGGAACAGAGATTTAAACAGATTGTTCAGGAAACTGGATTCTAAATTTCTCAGCAAGATTCCTAGGTTATCTTTACAATAAAAGAAATTCCAGGGATAACTATGAAAAAGAATTTCTGAAATCTGGTTGATCTGCAAATAAATTGATGTAACTATGTAAATGGCAACGATGTCATGAAGTCATTCAATAAATTTTAGATATATTTCAATAAAATATTTGGGTAAAACTAAATCTATAAAATTTAAGTTTTGACATTTCAAAATATTTAATCTTGAGTTTAAGATTTTGTTTTTTTTTTTTTTTAGTGATTAGAGTTTAATGAAATATTACAATTCATATATCATAAACTACTGACAAAAATCCAAACAGACCTCACTTTTTAAGTGAAAAAAGGGGGCAGATACAGTCTAAGAAATTCAACAAATACTTTTCAATTAGAAAAAATTATCATCACTCCACAAAAAGGTAAATTGCCAAGGAATTCAAATGCACCATGCATTTATATTCGGTGGCTCCTACAATCAACTATTCACCAAAACCTAGTAAAGGGAATCATCTTAGTATCTCTCCTCCACTGAAGAGATTCTAGAAACCTGTACGACCAAGATTTTTCCAGTTTTCTGACGATATAATTTAATACTAGGAACGCAACAACAATAAATTACTTGAATAAGTTTTTCTTTTGAACTCTAGGCTGCATCTTCTATTCTTGTTTCTGATTTTCTTCTCATTTTTCAAAAGAGTAAATGCTAGTGTTCTGAACACTGACTCAGTTTTATCTGTATACAAAAATATATAATATATACCTTGTGTACAGATGCGTGATTATTTTTGAGCTAGAAATCTTGTAACCAATATGAGCATACAGAGACTCTAAACAATTAAGGTATTCACATTCCACTTCTTTTCCTTATCTCAGTGGAAGATATATCCATTCGGAACTGTTCAGCAGGAATAGAGATGAACATGTCTTTTAGTTCCTCAGGAACATCCAAATCCTCAAGTACCTACAGCATCAGACAACGTTCTCACTAACACAGAACAAAAAACAAATAAGAAAGCCAATATTAAAAATTAAAACTATTGCTCCCTCCGTTTCAAATATAACGCATTTTTCAGACAGTACATGTTTCAATATGGGAGGCATTTTACAAAATACCAATCATTAATTACATGCTTTTAATGGGAGGCAAGTAATTTTGATATACTTCTATTGAAATTTTAGGTAAAAAGATATTGAGTCTTTAAAATTTCATAACATGCCTTTAATATTTAAACATCGACCTTTCCAAAAATGCCTTGCATTTGAAACGGAGGTAGTACTAAATTATTATGCAGAAGCACCTTGAAAGCACCATCTACATTCCGACCACCCACAAGAAAGGTGCATCCTGTTTCCTTGCAACCATTGAGTACCTTCAACATCTTGTTGTAATCCCCATCATAGTATTTAGGCTACATATCATAAAGAACATGAAGTGATCAGCTAATTAAATTTATTAACAAAAGGCACACTTGTTCTACATAACTAACATATTATAGACATGAAATTTAGGGTAATAAACTATAATTTGGCCAATTCATAACTCCTTCAGACACTAACACAACGTTGATGGTAGAGCAAAAAAAAAAAGGGAAACAAAAATGAGATATCTCCTGTTCTCTGCTCTTACTTTATCTGTTTCCTCTATCCTTCTTCCAAATTTCTATTCGTTTCCTCTAGTCTTCACCGTTTTATAATCTTATAGGGATACTTATGGTGCTAAATGAAACTTATACTGTCTTTAAGAGGCCATCGAAAACACCTTAAAAATATGTTAACTGTCAAGACTAGTATAATATTACATCTTATTACCTTTGGATTACCCTAATTAAAGTATCACGTCTGCCACTAGGATCAATGTTCAAAACTAGTCAACATCTGTTGGAAAAACTCCCTTGCATGTTTGCACCTGCTTTCTCAGTCTAAAACTGCAGTCTCTCCTACATCTTTTGCGAAGTTAACCTGGAGACTACTAATCCTTCACCAGAGTCAACTCACCACTGGCCTAGCCCTCTTTCATCTCTGCTTGGTTCCCTTGAGTTTACACTATTTCATAGTTGAAGCACAAACACATGTTTGACACAGCCGTTAACCTTGATCAATTTTTGACTAGGCCAAATTTTATGTCACTCAATGTCTCACAAAATTTTGTTCCAGCCAAGCATAATCAATTAAAAAAACCACATGGCAGAAGTGCTTAGGATCGGACATGAAGTTGTCAAGTTTGGCGCAAATTTTATTCTAGCAGTATGTAATTTCATACATTAATAAGCCTCACTGCCGTGTCAGCACCAATTACAAACGCACTTCCTGGAAAAAGCTCAGCCTTCTTATGAAAAAAAGGTTGATTGGATATAATTACTGACTTTCCTGCCAATGAAGTAGACAATAACATTAGAACTTTAAATCATATGGTAAACAGTACAAAACAACACACTCGATAGAGTTAAGCTCAGGTGTCACTACAGATTGATAGGCAAAAGCCAAACCATAAAAGTGGAATTTTTTTTTTCCAAGTAGAATAATATCTTTAAGAGAATATGTTGTAGCGCAATAAAAGATCTCTGCACATCACCAAATGAACTTATTCTGAACTTCTGACATTAACAGTACACATAACCCCTAATTCACTAAATTTTACACCATTAGTTATCTCTGGAAACAGTTTTACATCATTAGTTATCTCCTCTCTCTGTGTGGCATTTGCATCAGATGTTGTATAAACAAAAGCTAACTAGGCTATTTTGAATAAACAGAGAGTCAGTAATCAAGCAAACACAACTTAAGCAGCTTGCTACCAATATTGTATGGTAAACCAAGTGCAAGAATCTGTCCTTAGACAAAAAAGAAGAAATACAGTCCGTAAAGAATAAATGGTTTAGTTAGTTGAGGGGTCAGTTAGTTAGGTTCTGTTAGAATAAAGGGATGAAGGAGCCTATATAAGGGGTTCTGTACGTGAGTCAGATTATGCTTAATGATAAAATTCCCGGAATATAGGGCCTGTTTGTTTTCTGTTTTTAAAAACTGTTTTTTGTTTTTGAAAACAGAAAATTTTAAAAACTTGTTTGGATGAGTTTTTTTCATTTATTTATTTCCAAAACTGTTTTCATTTTTTGTTTTTTTTTAAAAAGAAACAATTTCAAGTTATTTTTGTTTTATTTTTCTTATTTTTAAAATACATTACATTTGATTATTGAAAATTATAGTTACTTTGACCAATTTCTATTATTAATCGACTAGCAGTCCACTTTTTAATCCTGAAACTGTTTTTTAATTTATATAACTAAACGGATTTTCATTTTATTTTGTTTTGAAAAACAATTTTAAAAACTGTATTATAAAACAGTTTTTGAAAACAAAAAATGATAACAGAAACCAAACAGACCCATATTTTCCATCTCTTTATTTTCTGTCGCCCTTTTCTCTCTCATCCCTCATCTACATTCCCTATTTTCCTTTGTTTTCTATTCCATTGCTTCTCTTTCCTCTATCTTCTACTATATCAGTGGCATCAGAGCCCGGTTTTTCCTACTTTATATGCCCATAACTGGTTCCCAGACTGTGTTACAGAACATGGCCAAAAAAACTGATGCAAGATTACATACTATTGAAACCCAGATTCAAGCACCCACAGCATAGATCGCTCAACTTGTTCACACCTTTTCTGAGACAACCTCTAAAAGAGAAGTAGGACACCATCGACCAAGACCAGAAAGAGAGTACCAACCTCCTACACAATTCACTAAGTGGAGTTTCCTAGATTTCAAAGAAAAAATGTTCTTGGTTGGATTCGGAAATGCAAATGCTATTTTCAGATTGAAGACACGCTTGAAGCATGGAAGGTTATGATGGCCAGCATCCATCTAGATGAAAAGCGTTTCAATGGCATCAAGCTCTTGAACATACTTGTCAGGGGAGAGCAATAGGATGGGCAGAATATGTGGAGGCTATCAAGAAGCATTTCGGGCCTACCTATGAGGCACCCACGGCCAAACTAATGAGACTTCAACAGAATGGGAGTCTTGGCAACCACAATGACTCCTTTGATGAAATCAAATGTAAACTTGACTTAATAGAGGATTATCTGGTGCAGACCTATCTTGAAGCTCAGAAGAAGGGTTTGTTGGACCTGTTCGTTTACTAAAGCCATCTGCCATCCACGATGCTCAACTTCTTGCAAGGATGCAGGAGATTCATTTGACAAAGGTGTACACTGAGTACAAAGGTGTTGACAAAAATATGAGAGATAGATCATCTTGGGCTGGTTTGTTGGGTCCTCCTCCACATATGTCACAATCATCTGAAAGGTAGAAGGAAACAAAAGGTACAGCTGGAGATGGTAGGTCCCATTTCATTAAGGACAAAATTCGGCTGCATCCCACCCTGTTTCTTCAAAAAGAGGTCCTGTTTCCTCTATTTCTTCATCAGTTCGATCTTCTTCTTCGCCAACTAATGCGAGAATCACAAAGACTTAGCCCAGCAGATGTTGATGAGTTTCACGTCAAGAATCTCTGTTTCTATTGCCACTCACCCTTTTTCAGAGGTCACAGGTGTTTTCTAGATAAGCAGATGCAGATGCAGCTTATTGAAATTTCTCCTGAATCTGAAGAACTGGTTCCAGCTGATACTGGGCAGGGGTTACGAGTTCACAAAAGTCCTGGTGATGCAAAGGGGTCTTCGGGATAAACAAGATAGATGGCTTTGACGTTTCAAAGCTATAGCATCAGTTAAGGTTTCATTGCATAAAACCTGAGGTCAAGGGTTTTCAAGGGGGGAGTATTGATATGTAAAGAATAAATAGTTTAGTTAGTTGGGTTCTGTTAGAAGGAGCATATATAAGGGGTTCTATATGAGTTAGATTATGCTTGACGATAAAATCCCAGAAATATATTTTCTGCCTCTCAATTTTCTGTTTCTCTCTTTCCTCTCTCATCCCCTGTCCACATTTCCTATTTTCCTCTCCTTCTATTCTGTTTCTTCTCTCTTCTCTATCTTCTACCATATCATAGCCCATCATTTCTTAGCACATGGACAGATATTTTATCAGCAAAATGTCTTTAGATCTAAGCAACAGTTAGAATCAAGAATCTTCAGGAAGAATAAGTTGAAAAAGCTCACCAACTTTTTCAAACTGCTTGACACGATTCCTTATTTCAGACACTGATAATGGAGGTTTATCTGCATTAACTGCAGATATTTCAAAGCATGGATAGCCGCCGCCACAAATGCTGCATAGATGAGCTCTTAATGAGTGAAATCTAAGACTGAAATTACCAACAGATACAAAGAAGTTTGAACGGACTGACATTAATAAGCAGTCCTAAACAAATTTTCAAAAGAACATATGATTCAGTAAGTTCAAGATCATGACATTATCATATTGTTAACTTTACACCATCACTACCTTACTAGATAGATATCTAAAAATTATAACATTGACAAAATTGTTAACTTATATTTAAAAAGAATAGCTTATTGTAATGCTTCAAGGTTAAATGTGTTTCTTTACTCCATTATTTGCAATCTACTAATGAAATTAAATAATTTAAATTATTCAACTACTAATGCCAAGTTATATGAGCAAATATGAATTTCTAAAAGTATATTATAATGCTAACTTTTGTAAGGCACATATTAAAATAAGCATATCAAAATAACACAAGTGAACTACAGAAATAAGGATGATAGATAATTAAAATCAGTACAAAATTAGACAAATAACATTGACCACGAATGAGCTTGTTTACCGAGTGGCAACTTCCATAAGCTTGAGATGCCCATCATGTAAAGGGTTAAAAGAACCAGGTAGAATTATTTTCCTCTCTGCTGATGTATAGGCTTCTGCAAACAAACGAGAAAGAATATCATTCAAGTGTCAAATTTAATTGTAATTTGAACTCTCTTATTCTTCTAAAAAATTTGGTCATACCACTACAAAATGGATAAATTTTAAAGCATGTTTGGCCATTTATTAGTTGTTCTAACTCTTGATCTTCACTGAATTGCTGTTCGCATTCATCAGATACATCAGATTCAGTCAACTCAGAGATAGATGTTGCTGGAACTTTGCATGCGTTTGCAATTGCCTACAACCAGAACAGAGAAGAGGTGAAGGTGAAAGAAAAAGGAGACAAAAAACAGAGATAAAAGGATAAAAAATAAAAATAAAACTAAGGACTAAACTAAGGTTTTTCACAAAATAGTAAAGGGAGATTTTGTTGCCAAATATTTCCAATCATATCATATGAGAACTCCACTGTTTGTATTGCATAATATGAAAAAAGAAAAAGTTATAGAATTAAGTAAATAGAATAAAGTAGCTCATAAGTGATAAGTGCACCTAAATGGAAGACTAATATATGGACAACCTCCCTTCACGCAAGCTACTCACCTTGAGTAAAAGATGGCTAGAGACTCTTTCTTCTTCTTCTCGGGTACGCAATCCCTAAATTGGAACAGTCAGGAAAACTAATAAATTTAAATATGTATATAAATAGTATGACATGTGTTAATTATATTCCTGGTTAATGATCAAAATAATGAACATATAGAACATTCAGGTCCATCAGTACCTTGGTCAAGGTCACTGTTGACATCCATAAACGGTTAGATGTTCTTGTTGACATATAAAATCTACAAATGAACATAAACGAAGAAGTTTAGCGGCTACAAGGCCTAAAAATCATACAATCAGGAGCTGTATTTAGCAAGAGGAAGTGAAAGCATGATATGGAAAGGACCTCTTTAAAGAAAATGAGACCAATTTACAAGGTAAAACATCCTTACAACATATATTTGCATTGTATAAGTAAATCCAAGTTAAAATAGTGGTAATGCACTTTTTCAAAGCGCAATTGATAAGTTTGTGTTGAGTCAAGATTTTGGAGTACCATCATAAATGGTCAACATGCTCACTGTTGCAGCTAAGGAAAAGTAAATTACAAGATCCACACTGAAAGCCAAGAATTAAGAGCAGCATGTCATGATGCAACAAATAATTTTAACCTCTCGTGTGAAGCAGAAGTTATTTTCTCGAAGTAAAAAAATATCCTCGCACAAAATGATTTATTAGCACCTAACCTATTTTTTACCTAACCTCTACCCTCACTCAAATATATACTTGTCCTTTTTAATAATCTGCCCGCCAAGTTTTGCAAGAGTAACTTGTAGACTAATTGCCATAAAAAAATTAAAGACTGTCCCCAGATGGATTACCCTAGTTGGATAAAGTTCTAACAACTTATGCCACCAAAGAATTGAACCACCAGTGGCAATGAACCCACGAGTGGGCAACTAATATTAATGCCAATTTCTAATCAACAAGTTACTCCTTTAAGAGTTAGGCATAGAAGAAAAACCATTACAAGCTTTGCCTAGGCTAAATAGCATCAGGCACATTAAGCAGTTCTGCAGATAACTTAAATTATATATTACCTGTGCTCCCCAAGTTTTGGACGCGTAGTAGCCAAAGAACCAGTGAAACCGACACCAAGAACAGGGGATCCTGATGAGGCAAAGCATGTACATATTTACAAACATGTCCAAATCATCCAGTTCACATGACAGAAATTTTGCCGTATCACTTGACAATGATAAAGAAGAAACTTATTGGAATAGCAACATGTTGTCAAAACCAACTATCAAATGTTTACTGGACCAAAAAACTGAACCCAAGAGAATAAGTTTTATTTTGATTAGTTGACCTGGTCTGGAGAGCTTAAGAGCACGATTGTAAGCCAACAAAGCCATTTCTTCAGCAATCTGTTGACTACAAAACTGAGGTGGAATCTGGAAGAATGAAGACAACAATAACAATGTTGAACATCTAAGAAACATAAATTGGATCGGTCAGAAGAACAATTCAAATATAGACCTTGCCAAGCAACTGGATCGTGGACATCCTGGAGTAAGGAATCACAGCTTCAAGCACTGTATTTGAAGCACCAGGAACTGAAAGCAACGAACCTAATACCTGATCAGGTTCAATATGGCTCCGATTACAACCGGGTCAACATTGTCTATCACAAGTACGCATTTTAACAGAGTCACAGAGATAGAGAGAGGACCATAGAAGCTCCACCGGAGAGATAGATGACAGCCTGAAATGGGCTCGAGTGGATGGCTTCGACAACGGTTCGGATACAAGCGTCCGTCATTTGCCTCCCCAAGTCTCCCTTCAGCGTTCGATGATCTCTCCGCTGAAGATGTAAGACAAAATCGCTATGTTGCCGTTAAACGATGGCAGATTAGAATATTGGGAGAATGTTGAGGAGGTGTAAAAGGAATAATTAATCTTTTAATTTTAGAATTACTTTTTGATAAATTTATAATTTATTTTTTAAATTTTAATATAATTGAAGAATAAAAAAATTATTTTTATAGTAAAATTTAAAGTAGAAGTTATCATCACACTAAAATTATAAAATTAAAAAATTAAATTATAAATTTTTAAAATTTGACATTTAAAACATGACTTGAATTAATAAATTATTTTAAAATTTTTTATTATTCTCTCTAAAATTATTGCTTAGCTCAAAAACTTGAGCCAAATTGGCAACATCTAAATTCTAAACAAACTCAAAAGACCAAGCTTTTGGATCTAGATCTTCTCAAAAGCCATTTGCCTTAGCATCCCTCTTTGTCCTAATATCAGCCATTCAATAAATATTTAATGTCTTATTTTCATTAAAAATAATTTTATTTTAAAAAATAAATTTTTTCATTAAATTGATTTATTATTTTATTTTTTATTTTCAAAACTTGTTCTAAAAAATTATCCAACAGATTTTTGAAAAGGGATTTATAGTTCAGTTTATTCAAACTCTAACTTAACTTATTTAATAAAAATTCATTTAAAAAATCTACAAAGTAGGTCAAACTATGAGTAGGTATTTATAATCTAACTTATCCAAACTTTGTTATGATCTATTAAATAAAACTCTATTTAAAAAATTTATAAAATAAATCAAAATGCAAGCAAATACTTATGATCCGGTTTATTCAAACTCTAGCCTAATTTATTTAAAAAAATTTATATAAAAATTTTTTAAAATAAGTTGAAAGAATTATTTTTTAAAATAAAAATATTTTTATGTAAGACAATGTGACAAAAAATGAGACAGTGGATATTTATTAAAGAGCTAAGATTGAAACGCCGAGGGACATTGCGGAAAATGACTTTTGGGAGGATCTAAATCCCCAAGCTTTTAGGGTGGGAATTAATCAAGTGCTCGGCTGCTCGCACCATCAAATCTTGCTGAGCCACAGAGATTTATATATATATATATATATATATCATTTTAATAACTCTAAATTGAGAAAAAGAGACTTAGTTATTAATTTTATCTAAAAATATAATATTTTTCATTTTATCTATATTTATTAATTTTTTTCATAATTTTAGATACATAATGTATATTGAATTGTTTATGTAATTTTTGTCCAATATATATAACTTTTTTTATTTACAAACTGTTTTTTTAAAAAATATATCCAAAAAGAAATTTTATTAGAGTGACCGATTTTTATTAAATTGATTTTTGTTAAATTAACTTTTGATAAATTGATTTTTGGACAACAAAACATGCAACTAGCACTAAATATTCAATTACCTTTGTGATCTAAAATTCAAGATACAACCGAGTATAATTAGATAAATATGTGATTATTTCATGCAAAATTGGGTCGATAATCTTGACTAGATGCTCAGAGGCGCTAATAGATATGCTTATTTGCTAGCTTACTACAGTTAATACAGTAATGCTGTTCAAAGATTGGTCTGAAGAGCCAATTAACGTAAGCTGGTTTACACTCATACAGTTCTAGGGCTGTGTACAGGAAAGGCAAGGTTGGGCATCCCGATTCCCTAGCTTGATGTGTAGTCCGAGACAATTTTGGCCCAAAAAATTTTAACATGTTTTTTGAAAAATATATAAATATTTTTTGAAAAAAATAATTATTATTATTTAAAATATATTCGTTATTAAACTAATATTAAAATCAAAATTATTTTTTTAAAATTACATATGGTCAACAACTACCAATTATTTTATATAATATTTTGTTGAAAATGTTTAAATTTTGAAAATGATTTAAAAAAATAGTAATGATAAGAAATATCCAAAAAGATCATAAAAATAATAGAGGTCATAATAACTTTCAATCAAAAAATAATATCATGAAATAAATATTATTTATAAATTTTTTTTATAAAAAGTGGCATATGTTTTGGTTGGGTCAGGCAAAACAAGGTTTAATATCTACTTGGTGCCTAGCCTGATGTGCTCAAATGGCTTGGGCTGATGGGCCTTTTGAGCATTGCAAATAGCCCTACTGTACACCATAGCATTTTTCACCCAAAAAATAAAACCTTTCAAGTCAATTAAGTTGAAGATTGCATTTTCTTGATTTGCCTCCTCTTGATTTCATGCTCTAGTTTTTTAGAAAAAAGTTTGGGGGGGTTGGTTTTAGGGATTCACTAGTATCAAGATATACCTCTAGACTTAAGGAGTGTTTATAGAGATAAAAACAGATTGCTTGATAACAACATTCATGATAGTAGAATTTGATCACACAATCTTATAAGTTAAATGTTAATTCCTTATCAAGTAATGGTTTTTCATGTTCTATTGTATCAAACATTTCTACACCCCCGTCATGTTTTTTTTTGGTCTTGTTTGATTGGGGCTTTGCCTCGGTAAGTTAAAATTTATATCTAGAAGATATAATTATAAAATTTTATAATAATGAAACCAATTTTTTTTAAAAAAAAATGTAACTAAATAAGGATCACAAGAACCATTCAACCAAAAAAGTTTATATTACAATGCATTGGCCTCATACATGGCATGAATAATGAAATGTCTAAGCTTTTAAGTTTAAACAATACGATGCTGCGTGTTGTGGCTGTAAAGGGAAAAGCATGCCTTAGGCTTTTGCGCAGCCATTAAATTTAATGGATATTGGCCTGTTGGGCTCCATTGTTCCTGCTTTCCCTTACTGTAGATCCCACTTACCTCATTTTCTTGAATAATAAAATTAATTAGACGCCATTTGTTTTTAAAAAAATTAATTAAACATTTTTTGGGCATGAATGAGGCTTGTGACCAACTATTGCTCATGATTTATATAAATAATAGAATACTCTCTTCATTTTAAATTATAAGACACTTTTAAAAAAGATTCAATGTTCAAAACTATAAAACATTTTGATATAAATAATGCTTCATTAATGATACTTTTTTAATATTACACTTTTCATATATTTTCTCTCTTTAATATTCTTTCATCAATAAAATATTAAATAAAAAATATTTTTTAAAATTTATATTTTTATTTTAAAAAAGTATAATTATAATGTGTATTTAATAAATTTTATTGATATATAAAATTTTATTTAAAAATATTTTATAATTTAACGCGGAAGGAGTATTATTTAGTTTATATTTTCTGGGTTAACTATTTGGTTCCGCGGGCTCCACACAACTCTTCCATTATTAGGCTTATCTTTTTAATATTGCTCACTTTTAAATTCAAACACTGTTTTTGGAAAAAAAAAATCTTATAAAACAGAGCAGATGGAGTAAACACCACGTAAATTTTATACAAACTCTTTTAAAGACCAAAAAAAGCCTCTAAAAAGGGTCTCCTTTTCCTCATAATTCTAAAAAGAATCTTATCTTGAATCTTAGAAATAACATGAGATAATACTACAAAGGTCTGTCTGAATCGAGTTCCCAAAAAATTAATAAACCAATCATATTTTATTTTTATAATTTTGAGTAAATTATAATTTAATATTTAAATTTTAAGATGAATATACAATTTAGACTCTGAATTATAAATACATAAGCAATTTGACCCATATACTCATAGTTGATATATTTTGAACCTTGAAAATTAAAATTGGTGCATCTTCGCCCCCACCGTTAATTTGAAACTAACGGCCATTACTTTTTAAACATACACCAGATAAGGAATTAATAGTGGGGGCCCTACTATGGTTAAAAAGTAAGGGGAATGACATTAAGGGCCCTAAAAATAAAATTTATTTCACTTAGGGCCTAAATGAATTTGAAATTGCTCTGCAAGCCTTGAAGCCCTAAGTACAATATTTCTTCAGAGCAAAAATACTATTTTACCCTTAATGGACAGAAATCAAATTGAACGCAAAGAAAGAATGACAAATGTAACACCCTCAAAACTTACAGACCGATTTTTCACAAATTATTAAAACCATTATCATGGTAGAAAATTTTCTTACCATAATACATCCAAGACATAACGCAAGTCTTAAAATATCCAAAAAGGCAATTAAAACCATGAGGGACAAACATAATCCTCATGGCATGATATTCAAATCAGATCATAAATCAAGAGGGACAGACATAACCCTCTTGGTCATATAAATACTTTTAATAAAAAGGATTAGAGTTTACATGTTTCACAAAGAAGATATGTCCTAAGTTGGCACAAGATACATTGTATAATCCAAAATAAGAGGCAACGTAAAAGATGGTGTCTCATACACCATAGTTACACCTCCGGTGCTTTCTCGGCCGGACTCGATCCTGTAAAAATATTAACCATGGGGAATGAGACTTAAAAGTCCCAGTAACCAAAAATTAATATGTAATGATGCATGCGGTTGTAACTAATCATGCGATTGCTAAGTGGGCACACAAAACATTTAACCGAACAATATTTTCAAACAAACCGAACAAGTATTTAATTTGCATGACTACACCTTATATCCTCCTTTCGCCATGCTCGGACGCCAAATCACCCGGCTAAAGGTGAGTTGGACCAAGCGACACGCCACTCATTGGGTCCAATGAGGGCTTACCACGTGGTAATAATTAACCGAACAGAAATTCCCATTAACACCATACATTAAAATACCCTGACAAGTCATGCATCATTCAAATATCCAAACAGAAATATATCCGAACAATGATATCTCATCATGATAAATAAAAATAAATTTTTGACCCACTTGGCAATAATTTCAAACAAGTATATAACAGTATTTATTTTCAATAATTCATAGTTTTTCGAAACAACAAGTCAACACATAACCATTCACAAACACACTCATCACAACACATTAATAATGGTTACCTTGTGTCTTGAATAACAAGTTCCCCTTCACAACTCCTTTTTCACCACTATCTTTGTCAATATAATCTACATAATTATTTCACAATACTATATATTAATTTTACATTAAAA